CCAATAAAGTGGAGCAATTCCTTTAATATCTCGGTATCACCTTCGACAGAAGGCTCACCTGGAACAAACACATTCAATCTACCCAGCACAAGGCAAGGGCTGCTTTTTTGTCGCTACGACCTTTCTTCAGCAACCAAAAGATCTCACGCCAGACCAAAGTACGTGCCTTCTCGGCAATTACCCGCAGCATCAGCACCTACGCAATACTAATTTGGGGCGAGTCAAGCGGTCTAAGGCGCCTTCAAGGTACCTTTATGAAGCTACTAAGCTGTTTTGGCCTCAACTCTCCGCAGTCCAATTTTGTTTTCTTCTAATCTTTTTCTCCGCTTCTCTAAATTCCTTCTCTCTATAGGAGTGTATAGCCAATCAGGCTGGTCCTCCATGTGGTGGTAGTTTTTAACCAGTAAGAATCTGGCACTACCTTTCTATCAGGAAGGTGCCTATAGAAGGTTTCCTACACCACAATAAAAAAAAAGACAAATAAAAAAAAAAGGCTTCAGGGACGCATGACACGCACAGTAGCATATCGTCTTTGTTGAGTGATTACATGAATTCCTAAGGATGTATGGTGTGGAATAAACCTTTAATCTTACTCAGTAATCTTATCTTATCTTACTAATTTATAAAGCAAAGTTGCTAAAACCGTTGTAATCGCTAACCGCGAAAACTACAGTACCGATTTTGCTGAAATTTTGCATACTGATTCTTGATGATTGCGAGATGGTTTTCGCATAGTTTTTTTCTTGAAAAAGTTAATAACAATAGTAATAAATAAGCTCAAAGTTTTGCTAAAATAAGCTAGCTTTACGCTTTAGTTCAGTACGATCCGCTGTTCAGTAGGTGGCGTCGAGATAAAATTGAAGCCACCCGCAACCAAAGATAGTAAAGAGTAGTTATAACATGCCCCATCAAGAGTCGATCATTGGCACTACACCTAGAACAGAATGTTCCGTTGTACAGCTGAGCATTCCGGCTACCGATGACACTCTTCTTTCATGGGCAAGCAAAATAAATCGGGTTGAACCCCGCATCGCCTAAATAACCGACTGTCACGAAAAAATGGGTGTTTGGGACGTCAACGTCTTCGGTGGTATCTTACAAGGAGACCTGTATAGCCAGAGCACAACCTGCTCCAACACTTTGGCCGTTATGTGGCTGTTCAACCATTTGACCTGGTGCTGTCAGAGAATTTTCTATACTTCAAATACAAGCCAGGGAAGACAGCCCTGCAGAGTACCGGCAGCCACAACGACGTCCTTCTTAGGGGTCGTCCCAACGGCATACCTACAGAGAAGGTATTCTCTAGGCCCACTTTCCTGACTAACGATGAACGGTTGGTTAACCGGGGAACGACTTGAAGAAGAGATATTCTTTGGTCAGCAGCGTACCTCCCTCCATCACAGTCTCCGTACATCGAGACTCCCTGGGTAAGAATCAAGCAACCGTAGCCAGCTCTTCATCATCAGGAATAAGAATAGCCTGGAAGTTTCACCACTGGCGCTTTTCAGGGTCGTTATAAGTATTTACGTTCCCTACTTAACCATCAATTTCATCGGTTCTTTTTAGGATCCACGTAAGTGTAAACTACCTTGCCAACAAATACATTTTTATTACCATTTCCGGAAGCGATTCGTCGACTAAAAGACTATACTAACTAAAGACGGGCACTATTAAACCAAGTCAGCCATTAACTGGCAGACGTCACCTGCGGAGTTGTTCGTCGCAATGCTGGGAACCCCGGTGACCGACGGCCCTATATTATCCTCTCGACTCGAAAATAATAAACGTGAGCTAACGGGACAGTTTCCAACGGGCAAGCATCACGAATCAACCTCTCCACCTTAGATCACCAAAACAACTGAGTCTGCAAAAAAAGAAGGTGCTTTAGATACCAACGTCTTCGACGTTATACTAGGAGATGTTGGGAAAGAGCTCTACAACTACCTCCAAAGCTTCAAACGTTGTAGTTTTCTTTCCAATCAGTGTGGTGCTGCAATAACAGGCCAGAGAATATCACCCTGAGGTATAGAGGCAATCACGTTTGCTGGAAACTTCAGTCAAGAAAGAGTTTACTTCAGAAGCTCACTGGTCCTTTTCAGGTTCATCGGACGTCGAACTACCTTGCCAACAAACATATTACAACCTAATAAAGTGGAAAAAAATAGCTTTTAGGACTCACAAGAGTCTCAACTATGCCAAAAGTCACAAGAAGTCGAATTGAAAGGAAAACTTCAACTGCATCGTATGAATACAATTTTAGGCGTCAAGAAAATGACGAAAGAATGTATTAAGTGAGAGATCATTTTTTCACTATAACCCTCATAATAATCTCTTGAATCTTCCATATTTTTAAATGGATTAAATTTGTATTTTTGTTGCGATAAAAAACGTAGAGATTAAGATTTGTTGCTCTGGTTTAAAGTTGTGAGATAAGAGAAAAAAAATTTTCAATTATTTATTTTTTGTGAGCTTTGAATCTTTACAGCTTTAAAAAATAGCCCTTTTCGTACCTAGATTATATGGGAAAAACTGCAAATCAACAGCCCTTTAAGGCCAACGATTATTTTATGGCATAAGGAACGCATGGTACTTTTTAGCACAATCATATTTTTTTCACTTTTTACAGCTTATTATTTGACCAAATAAACTGTGTGGATTACGAACCAATATATTTTTTAATAAGAAGATTTTTGTTGTGAGAAGTGTCAGTAATAGATGTAAAATTTCTGACTGAAAACATTTCACATTACATGTCAACACACTACGGTGTTCCATTTAGTGAGTCTCGGGCGAAGCCGAGTCGGGAGGGGGGTCGCTAGTGTTAAATAAAACAAGTGGTAAAATGACCTCCAAGGTATTGAAACATATAAGGGAATCAAATACCAGACTTGACAGATACTGCATCCGCAATTAGCTTAATGAATCATAATTTTTAAATCAATAATAACTTTGAAGAAGTAATCACTTTTACGTTTCGCTATTAATAAAAACAATTTTTTGTGTGGTCTTTGAATCAAAAAAATGTATAAGATTATAATATAAAGTATAAAAAATATTTCACAAAAGATTTTCTTGTTGATAAAGATAATTGCTCTCTTTTACATATTTA